GGGGGGGGGGTGAATTACTACAGATCTTTCTGCGAAAAGCAGAGGAGAACATGCCGACGTACGCCACGAATTGCTTTTCTTTGGCAAAGCAGTGTCGCAGACGTTGGGGCGGTGGACGCTATACACGTAACACTCACTTGATACGCATGTTGTTTGTTGTCCGAGCCAGAAAAGCAAGCGCCCACAAGCGCTCAGATTGAGTTCCTGAAGAGTGGTAAACAGGCTTGTTTGGAGTGAAACGAAAAGGCATCGGGATCGGGATGAGGGAGGAAAGGGGGGGGGGTGCGGTTACTCATTGATCACGTGTATGGAGCTGCAGTGCTTCGCCTCACCGTTTTGACCATAAGCTATCAATCTCTCTTCGCCCCTCCTATTTCCTGACGGCCCCCCTGACTGCGGGTGGCGCGCTCGCTAAATCAGCTCAGCTCAGGACGCGTGCTGTCTCTCTGTGTGTGCGACCAGGCAGAAGCCACACATCCCATCCCCGCCGGCCCCGACCCTGACCCTGGGCAGCCCCGGCCCGCGCGGAGCGGGCCACCGAGCGTGTACACGACGCGCCAGACCCGCCGCAGCCTCTTCCGGCCGAAGGACTGCGCGCCGTCCTGGTAGCCGCGGCGATGGCGCCCGCGGTCCTCGGCGCCACCCCTCCGCTCTAGCGCGACAAGGAGTCTGAACGAGGTGAGTCCCGGTGGCGGGGCATAGGCTGGGCGCGCGGCTCTCGTTGAGTGTGATCCTGGACCCTGACATGTTCCAGTGCCACCACCACCACCACCACCACCATGGCGCTGGTGATGCTGCCGTGCGACGTGCCCTGGTGGCCGACGCTGGTGCGGCACCTCCAGCAGATCGCCGAGGCCAAGGACCCCGCCGAGTTCGTCGAGGGCATGCTCAAGATCCACAACATGTGCAAGTGAGTCGACACCTCGGTCGGCACGCACGCAACTGTCGTCTACACCCAGAAAAATCGTTTCTTGTTTCTAGTAATTTTTTCCTTGTTTCAAGTGCACGGTGACACAAGATTAAATTTACTCTTGAAACAAGCTGATATTTTCTTTCGAATAAGAGAAAAATCTTAGTCCAAAGACAATATTGCCTTGTTTCAATGGTGAATTTCATCTTGTGTCAGCGTGCACTTGAATCAAGAAATTATTTTCCTGGGTGTACCCGTCCTGGTGAAGCGACGCTGTAAGTGACTATAGCTCAAAGTAAAACTAACACCACCTCGTCACCACAGCGTGGGCTTGGACCCCGACGAGCCCGAGCGGCCGGACCAGACGGTGTTCGACGGGCTCCGGAAGTACCTGGAGAAGGAGCTGAGCGCCGCGGAGCGGAGCCACTTCCTGCGGCAGACCGCCCCCGCCATGGTGCGCCGGGCCCTGGCCCTCAAGGACCTCAAGCCCCCCAGCGGCCTGCACTTCAGCCTACAGCAGCAAGGTGAGAGGCAACACGAAATAATTAAAGGCAGCACGACGGTAAAATGTTTGTCAGTGACGTCCTTAAATTCCACCTGCATTATCATTCCAGTGACATACGTCACCCTCGACGTCACCCTTATAGAGTAGTGATGCTTGCGCTCCTTCGACAGGTGACCGGGTAGAGTACGACCGACCGTTCATCGCCAGCGTTCTTGCCCACGCCTTCTTCTCGTCCTACCCGAAGCGGACGCCAAAGACTCATCCTACACTACAAGACTGCAACTTTTCCCTGTTTTTCAGAAATTTAGACCAGTAAGTCGCTTCGCGCCAAGTCGTCTCCCGGAGAGCAGGGACACCACCGCGCGGTCGCGGTGCCAATATGATGCAAACGTTCACGTTTCGTCAAACAAGCTGTCTTTTTCAAATTGCAGGAAGTGCCAAAAAGCGAAGCTCAGAAGTATCTGGAGGTACTTTGACGAGATGGAACTGGACACGGCGCCGACGGATAAGATAATCATTTCCAGAGAGGTGAGCTCACGCTAGCGCTCCGGCCCGTCCCGTCGCCCCCAGTACGCCCGCGGGCTGCTGGATAGGCTGCGCCCAACGCAGGCGCGCGGGCGGGTTGCCTGCCTACCCGGACCCGGACGGGGGCTCCGGAGGGGTGTCACTCACCAGGGTCGCTATCACCGCGTCGTCGCCGCCTTGCTGTCGTGCTGCAGGTGATGACGGGCAGGGAGTGGCTGACCATCGAGGACTGGCTGGAGTGCGGGCTGCCGCTGTGCCCGCTCGCCGTGCGCCACGAGGGCCGCCTGGAGCGCGCCGAGCCGTCCGCGCTGCGGGTCTGCTTCGCCAACAGCAGGCTCGGCGGCGCGGCGCTCGAGGACGGCTCCTCCCAGGAGGCGGTGCAGTTCACGACGTGCCCCGAGCTGGTGGCCGTCCTGCTCAGGGTCGAGGCGCTCGAGGACAACGAGGCGCTCATCGTGGAGAACCTGCTGCAGGTGGCGAGGATCGCGGACCCCCGGCAGCGCGCCACCTTCGAGCCCGTCTCCGGCAGCGTGCTGGTCCGTTTGCATTCCGGATGTTTATTCGATGCTCTTTTCCTGTGGGCCGGTATTACCCGGAACTAGTTATCCTGTGTTCAGGAAGAATTTAAGAAATCCCCTCTTTAATTCTCCCCCCAGCTGTCCGTCTGCTGCGTGGACGCCGAAAACTACCGCCGACTGCCACTCAGCCAGTTCGAGGAGGACAATGTCCTCCGCGAGCTCAACAAAGCCCTCCTGGGCTTCAGACAGCATCGCTGGGTGGCGCCGCCGCAGCCCCCGGAGGCGGCCCCTACCCGTGAGCACCACCAGAGGAGACTGTCCCCCATCGGCGAGTCCTTCAGCTCGACGCAGTCCGACGCGAAGGAGGTGAGAGACGCCAGGTCCGACAGGAAAACTCTTTGAGATCTTCCCGTCACCGTGAGGAGAACGCGCTGGATTATAAAAGGCACCCCTCCACTTGCACTGTATATTCTGGGTTTTTCAAGCGTGTTTCCCAGTTTGATGGTATCGCCACCAAATCAGACGCGTTCCTCAAATTTTGAGGAAATTATTGAAAGTTTACACATATTTCCTTTCAAAGTGCCGAAATGGACTCAAAAACTCAACCCTACTAATGATACCGCCTTCTTGGACGTGCAGCCTCACCACCCGGACGGCACCCCAGCCCGGGGCCGCGCCCCGCCGCGGGGCCGCTCCATCTCGCCGTCGGGAAGGCCGCGGCCTCAGGGCCCGGGCCGGCCGCCCCGGCAGCCGGCGCGGCGCCCCAAGGGAGGTGGCGGCGGCCCGCCCCCGACGACGCCGGGCCCCGCGGGGGCGGCGGCCAGGAGGGGCCGCTTCATCGTGCTGGGCTCGTCCGGGGAGTGCCTCCCGGTGAGCCGGAGGAAGATCATGACTGGCGGGCTCACGCAGAGAAGGGGCCCTGGGGGCGCGCTGGCCCCGGGGGCGGCGGCGGGGGCGGCGGTCCAGCCCCGGGGGAGGGCCGCGAGCCGGCCCCCGGGCGACGACAGCTCGGGCAGCGACGAGTTTCACAGCGCGCACTCCAGCCTGGAGGGTGAGTCGAGTGGCGCGGGACGTCACCAACGAGTCCCCGTACTGGTAAAAGTCCTCAATGAGTCGCGGTGCTCTGCAGGCAGCGACGACGACCAGGACGGCGGCGCCCGGCGGTACAGCGCCGAGATGGACTCTCCGCAGCGGCGCTCGGCCTTCGCGGAGCGCCTGAGGGAGGCCCTGCGGCGGGAGGCCCAGAGCTCGAGCGAGAGCGACGAGAGCAGCTACGCCGTCGGCATCACCGTCGCCGGGACGGGGCTCGCCGACGAGGACATCCGGTGAGTGAGGGCAGTCCCGGGGCGGTCCAACGCTTCCCTCTGGTGGTCCTCGTGCGCTCCGCGCTCACCGTCAGCTCAAATACGCAGGTTACGGCGCGGCGGGTCGCGTGGCTTCATGCTGGACGACTCCCGCTCGGTGGAGAGCTACACCGAGGCGCCCAGCGACGCGCTCGCGCTCGCCCTCACCCTCGCCGCCCAGAGCGGGCCGCCCGAACGGAGGCCGCTGGCGCAGGGCGGGGGCGCGCAGATGCGCCGCTCCTCCTCGTCCAAGTACAGCTTCGACACGGAGCTGAGCTCAGGTTCGTCATCGCCAGCTCCCCGGGCTCCTCCCCACCCCGGTGGAGACGACGCTGACCTCGCCGGTCTCGGTTCAATTTCAGACCTGGAGGACGCGTACGAGCAGTTCGCCAACCTGGTGGAGGACCAGCGGTCGTCGTCCGGGTCCTCCGAGATGGAGGGCCGCGTGGACGGGCGCGACGTGGCCGTGGCCCAGTTCGCCAGCCGGCTGCTCAAGCGGACGCTCAGCGACTCGTTCGCCGGCGTGCAGCTCGGCGACGAGCACGAGCCGCAGCCCAGGAAGCCCACCCTGCTGGCCGGGGGGTCTTTCGGGGCGACGGACGGCGGCAAGCAGCGCCACCTCAAGCTCGCGCACATCGCGAGGAGCATGAGCCTGGAGCTCGCCAAGCACAAGCACCGCCTGGCCAGTCAGCTCGTGAGTACCCGACGCCCGTGGCGATACCCCTGCTGCGCCCGAGTCTCCGCGACCAAGTGTACCGCCGACTAGACTGCGCACGTCTCGCCTCCACGTAAGGGGCCGTTCGGGTACAAATATTATGGGGTCCCAAAATGATCAGATCGGTCATTGGAGTCAATTAGAGACCCTATGATATTTGTATCCCGGGGTACAAATCTCATGCCGCGATTCATTGATCCTCCAACACCTTTTAAAAGCCAACTTCCAGGCCCAAAAGTGTTGTCATGATTCAGAGCGCTGCCTTGCCTATGTCGCGCAGGTGTCGCAGCTGGAGGCGGCGCTGAGTGGGGAGGCCGCGAGCCGCGGCGGCATGCGCGCCGTGGCCACGGGCAACTGGGGCTGCGGCTCCGAGCGCGCGGGCGACCCGCAGCTCAAGCTCATCATCCAGTGGCTGGCGGCCAGCGTGGCCGGCGCGCCCTGCCTCGTCTACTACACCTGCGGACACCACAAACTGCTCAAGGTGGGCTGTACAGTCATCTATGATGGTTCTTGAATTACTATCAGTGGAACGAAACCTTGATAAGATTGTCCCTCTTTCCTCGTTGCAGTTGGACACGGTGTGCAGGATTGTGCTCGACCGACATTGGACCGTAGGCGAGTTGACCGACGCGGCTCTTGGATTTGCTCAAACCTGTCTCGACAGCCCAAGTCCACCCCACACAGGGCAGGCACTTTTCGATGCCCTCCTCGGGGTGGAACGTTAAGATTTTACTTAAAGACATGTTCATGTACAGATAATGATGATTTCACGAGTGCTTCATCATTTTGATTGCCATTCGCATTCTAAATAACACTCATAAGACACATCTATGTATGAGTTATACACACCAAGATTGAGAAGCATTAAGTACAATTGGGGCTAGAGACCAAAACTGACTGACCAAATATAATTTTCTACAATACGACATTTATTCACAATTATTACAGATGTTCTTTAGGGCATATTATTATTATTTTATAAAAACAACCTAATCCTGAATGTGATAAACTGTACATTAGGTACAAATCAGCATGACCTAAGTTCAAAAATAAATATGACAGCACTGCCCAAACAGCATCACAATAAAAGGATAAAATATAGTATACATCCTCAACCCTCAATCTTTACAATAACAAAAATTGGAATAACTAGAAAAATGGGAGAAAACAATCACAGCAGGTTGTCTGTGAAGTAAAATTTGTGAGGGATCAAACTTATGCAGTACAGTTCAACTGTGAACCTTATTAATTGCAGACCAAAAAATTAAGAAAAGAGAAACAGATGGTCTAAACTTCACTGAAAGCCGTTTGTTAAGGGAAAAATAAGCCACGCATGCGTCGACCAAGGCCTGCTCGATCATACATTACGTTAAATTTGTTGACATACTGGTTAATATCATTGCAGCATTTAGTGAGTGCTCCAAGATATGTCATGAGAGCAACATCATTACATTGCTAGAAAAAAGAAACAAAGCTTAATGGCACATCAAATACTCCAGAAAAGCAGGAATGCATAGGACATATGTATTTGTACTTACATTATAAAAATCTCCCTTGAACTTAGGACTTTGTAAAACAGGTAAACGATTACTGAGAGAAAATGCTTCCCGCAGAATTTCATGGTTAACTGGTAATTGACCAGATTCAACTGCTTTTACATACTGCAGTACCAAACGGACTCTCGAGTGTAACATTTTGATAGCACTATGTTGAGCGGACAAATGTTCAGCGACTGAAACAAAAAACAGCCAATAGAGCTTAGTTAAAGCAAAAAAGAATTTAACATTCCTACACAAGAGAATGAAATTATTTACAACTCACCCAAAGAACTTTCTCCAGTATCGCTGCTAGACATTCTGGCTACATGGTCAACACCAATTCTTTCAGCTTCCTCAGTAGCCAAAGTGTACGGAAGTTGCACAAACAGCATTGTTGCTTCTCCTGCCACTAAGTCAATGACTGACTCAAATAGGGTAACTGGAAGCTGATAGGAAAAAATGAGCTCATTAGAACAGGAAACTATAAAACGCATAATTTTAAGAAATCTTTAAGACCGAGTAAACTTACATCTGACTGCCGTGAAAGGGGATTAAGCTTCAAAAATACAGGGCTCTCATTGATTTCACAGATTTGTTTGTGAACCTTAATGTCTGAATCATCTGGGCCTTCACCAGTAGTATACCATCCCAAAAAGTCATTATCACTAAAAACTTGTTTGACTATGAAAAAGAAAAAAAGAAATGTGGCTGATTAGTAATGGCTCTCATCAGAAAAATAAGATTGAAAACAAACAAAGTGTGGACTTACATTGCTCTTCCTTGATACCGTAATAGTCCCTGTCAATAATTATATCACCAGCTATTGTTGAAAATTGTAATTCAAACGAATTCATAACTTCGATGTTGCGGCCTTTCTGCTTTCCTATCAATGCACCAATAACTGGAATAATAAACGAGAAATTAGATCTTCTGTCAAAAGACTGATAACTTCTAATGTTAAACGAACAAAAGGTGAGGTGTAAAAAAGACTGGAATCAATGACACTAAATTCATTTAGAAAAGGGGTTAAGTTGCACACTTGTCGTAATGACTTTGACATGTTAGTACACCTAATGTACTCTCTGTCAACTACACAATACCCGACAATATTAAATCAAATACAGACAGAAATTTTTTCTGAGCGAATTAGAGGAAGATATGATGGTATACTCAGCGTAAAATTTGTGGTGAGATACCGAGGAGGAGGAATAGGTTAGGTTGACAGGTTCGAACGCTTGGGAGAGACCCACCTTGTTGTGCCTTGCCCTCCTGAGCCCGTATTCTGGTCCAATGTTCAGAGATGTTCATGATCACTAGCGGGTGCAAAAAGGCCGAGACACTTCCCGCCGTGCCCGAGGCCATCACACTCCTCCCGGTGTCATCCACTTCCATTTGTTGGTCCATCGCGATGTCCTCCTGAGGCTCTGTCTGCTGCTGGGAAGAGCCCGAAGGCCCCGGCTCCGCCGCGCTCATCGCCGACGTGGACGTGATATCACCGCTCTGACAACTGCGTTAGAGTTCGGCCACCCAGCAGGTACAAATTTCACGCAAGTTATCGACGTTCTATCAGGCAAACATCACCAAACCACCAAACGCCAAACGCACCGATCTTCAAACATCAACAACACTCGCCGCCACCGCCTTGTAGGTATGCGAGACAACCAACTTTCGGCTGTAGTCGTCAGATTGCAATTCCAATCGACATTCACTTCGAGAGATCTCAGCGCGGGACCGTTCAAAACGACCCTGGCTGACGACATGGGCTTCATGGGGAAGGGACACGGGGGACACGAAAACCACCGAAGTGTCGCAGATGTTGTTGGCGGGAAGACCCTCTTGCATTTCGTCTGTAGTCTGTGCCGGCCTTCCGTTGGACTTCCCCGTGTCGAGTCGCAGTTCCCGAGCGCCGGGTGCACATCGCGTCCTCCGCGCAGGGGCGGCAGTTGGGTTGCCTACCAGGCACGGCGCCGACCCCTCTCCCAGCCGCAGCCGTCACGCGGCCCGCACCCCCCGCATCCTTCTGTCCACTTACCTCTATAGATCGTCTAAACGACGTCAACGCGACGATGTCGTCAAACCGACCTTTCGTACATTCAGGTTGATCTTAAAGTGTGGGTTGATTTGCCATTGACAAGAAAATCAGTGCGAATTTCTATCGAAATCGAATCCCTATCACATTGACTGATCTGTTCCACCTTGTTGGGTTATCTTGTATGGGCATGGCTTTTCAGAATTATTGGAAGTCATGTTCGGCGAGGTCAGAGTAAGAGTTCGAAAGCTTCATCGGGTCCGAGTGCGCTGCTCGTCGCTCGTCACGCCCGACTTGTGTGACTGGTGAGCAGCGGCTCTTACATTGTCCGAGGCGGCGGGTCTTGCATACGGGGAATGGCAATCACAACCATCTTTGCAATCATCATAACGCTAGAGGCGATGCAGTCGCGGACTTTATTGCGCGAGCCGTCACACAGATCACGGGCACGCGGCCGGCCTCCCAGCTTTTGCTTTTGGTGCCTGTACAAAGTAGTGGCCGGCTGGCATTGAGCGGCCCTCCTATCAGGCCGGAGTGAGGACCCCAACCGAAGTGCTATCATCAAAACGATCTTCGTTGTCAGACAAAAACTTGTCGCTTTGCTCGTAAAATCTGACATTGTTTCGGCATCGTTTTGATAACGTTTCGATATCGTTTTGAAATATAGCACCGGGTATTTCTCCTCTGACCCTCCGCGCCTAAAGCCGCGCCGCCGCGTGATCGAAATAAAACGATTCTGGCAAGAAAGTTGCTGCGTCCCGCGCCTCGCGCTTCTCTGTCGTCTTGCGCTGCTGCTGCTCCACTCCAAGAAGGTCGCAAACTGTAGGGGGCGCGGGGGCTGCGACATATCGGTGTGATTGTGTGATTAGTGAGGATAGGGGTGGGGG